CTGCCCTGTGTTGTATTCTTATAATTTAAAAAAAAAAAAAATTAAAGTGAGACGGGGTTTGCAGCTTGAGCACAGAGTGAGACTAAAAGACCTCCAAGGTCCCTTCCGACTCTCTTATTCTGATATTTATTGTGTTATTCTGATCAGTTATCAGTCACTGCATCCAAACTTCAACCGAGTGACATCTTTGATATGAACTCCTGAGTTCTCCTAAGGAACGGTCTTATTTTGCCTAAGTCGACCTCCAGCCTGTTGTAGAGAATACAGACGGTCCTCAAATAGCAACCATTCATTTAGTGGCACTTCGAAGTTGCAATCGAAGTTGCAATAATGACGAAAACGTGACTTTGGACCCTTCTTCACACTTGTGAATGTTGCAGCATCCACATGTTCACGGGATCAAAATACTGGGTCATATATATGGATCACAAAAAGTAATTATATATGATTACCTTCTGTAACCTTCTGACAAGCACAGTCAATGGGGGAAGCCAGGTTCACTTAACAACTGTGTTACTAACTTAACAACTGCAGGGATTCACTTAACAGCTGTGGCAAGAAAGGTCACAAAATGGAACAAAACTCACTTAACAACTGTCTTGTTGAACAGTGGAAAGTTAGGCCAAAAATTGTGGTCGTATGTCGTTGACAACCTATAACGACATTTTTATAATATTATGGTCATCATTGAAATTGTCATTATTATGACTTGTGTGATACATTAACACTATTGACCAACGGCATCTGCGTATCTCAGGTCCTTGGGAAGGACTCGATAGGCGGACAAGAATGCCAAACCCAGTCCAAACATTCATGGGACTGTGATGAACCATAATAACAACAGTGATAGGCACCTTGGTATAACCCCAAAACATCTGGAGCACCACTTGAATACCATTGTCATTGACAAATTCACCATCAGTCAATTGCAAAAGGCAGCTTTGCTTGGAACAGCTTGCATCCTGCAAGATACCTCTAACATTGTCGATCAATCACATCTGCCTATCTCAGGTACTTGGAAGGACACAATAGGTGTTGTGGTTAGCTGGCAGCAGGTGTGGACGGCTGGGGAGAGTGAGGACTCAGATGAGGGGCCAAGACCATTAGGGAGTGAACTGCTGCCTTCAGAGATGGTGGGGGCTTGCAGCAGCGATGAGGAGGTTCCCGAGGAGCCTGTGCTAAGTGTGCATGCGTGCAGGGTTGCTCGCAGGAAAGAACAGTTGCAGCAGCACGGGCAACTCGGGAGTAAGGCTGCAAGGTGATGGCCCCTCCTTCAAGAAGATAAAAGCCAGCTGTGAATCAAACGTTCTTTGCAGGAAGCAAAGACGTTTTGAAACTCAGCCTCATGGACATTGCAGTATCTTAAGTTGGTATTTGAAGACTCTTGCGTTGTGAAATATTTCTTGTCTGTTATCTTTTGGCAAGTCTTGCACAGTTTGTCAAGACTTGTGCTTATTATCACAGCTAATTATTTTGCAGAAGCATTACAAGGTTTCTGTTCCCTTTTGGGTTGTGTTTGATTTGTTGGGAAAGGGCGCGGGTCAGAACAGTAGGTGGAGAAAAATGCCAAATCCAGTCTGAACCTCTATTTGTGCAACCAGTCATAATATTCCACTTCAATGCCAATTGTAAGAATATGCTTATAATACGGTTCTACCGTAGCTATAAGTAGCACCAAAGAGTATGAAAGAAAACCTTGGAGAATCCCGTGCTCTCTGCAGGAATCCAGATAAAAGCACCCGTGGCAGATGGCTGCTCAGCCTCTGCATGAACATATATCCTGCGAAGGAGTGTAGTTGTGTTGGGTGTCAAGCTGTGCTGATTACTAGGATCTTCCAAGGACGGTGCCTGCCTGGAATTCCGGAGCATTGTTTCATGGTTTGCATTCTGCTCTTAATGTGGAAGACGCCTTGCCCCGCTTGCTTTCAAGTCAGGCCCTGCAAATCCTCCCAACTAACTGTCTATATGTGCTTTGGGATATGCAGGCATACTTCAAAGGGATGCTTCTTCTCAACGCGTGAAGTCTCCCAAGTCCCTGGAATTCCTTGGGAAGCTCGTCCCAACTGTCTCCATCTATGGAACTCTCCTTTCAAAGGAATTTAAAAAAAAAAACATTTTCTTTATTTCTTTAATGGTATTATCTCTACAAATAACTCAAGGCAGAAAACACATCGGACAGACTTTCCTCCTCCTAGTATCCTCACAACAACCACCCTGTGAGTTGAGTTGGGCTGAGGGAGAAGGACTGGCTTTCATGCCTAAGGCAGAACTAGAACTCACCGTCTCCTGGTGATTGGTTGATTGGTCCAAAGGCACCTAGATCAGTGAGGGTGAACCTTGTTGTTGTGGTGTGCTGAAAGCGCATACCCACAATGCAATGCATCCTGCCCTGCGCATGTATGCGCAACACCCCCGCCCCACCCCCTTACCTGCACTGCGCATGCACGCACCTCCCAGCTCATTTTCGGCCCACGTGAGGCCCTTTTCGCCCTCCCGGAGGCTGGAGGGAAGCCTCGGCAGCCTTTGGAGGCTGAAAAACAGGCCGGTTTCGGCACTTCTGATATTTCTGGGAGGCCCATTTTTCAGTGCAGGTAAGTTTGGCTGGGTCTTGTGTGCCCGCACAAATGGCTCTGTGTGTCACCTGTGGCCTGCGTGCCATAGGTTCACCATCAGGGACCTAGATGGCTTTCACACCTAAGGGGAGACTACAACTCACCATCTCCTGGTTTGTAGGCCATCACCGTAACCACTTCTTGTCTTTGAAGAGGGTGTGAACTTAGCCTGACTTCCTGGTCCGGTAGAAAGAGGATGTTTTCCCCTTTGGGGAGACTTCTGGGTGAAGAAGGATCTGAGTGAGGAGCTCTGTTATTGCAACGAAGAACTCTTCCTGTCCCGAAGGGCTGTTTTCCTTTAGCTGATGATATTTGCCGATTTTATCAATATTAAGATGGGCTGTGCCAGTTTCAGACAACAGATATCAGACCACGGATCACAGTTCTGCCAGAGCAGGGGGGGTTGGACTAGATGACCTCCAAGGTCCCTTTCAACTCCACGACTGTTACTGACTTGGGAGGTTGTTACTGTTAGACTGTCTGAATGTGCGGTATAGACTGTATTAGACTTGGCCTTTCTTTCTTTCTTTTCCCCCCAAAGTGAAAAGATGGAAGATAAATGCCTGTTTTTGATGGGGAAAGGAAAAGGTGACCTTGAATCTGGAGATTAAAAATTAATTACCAGTTGAAAAATACATACCAATGAATTATTTTTAACAAAGTAGCTGAGGTTTCCATAATGCTTGGCATTCTAGGTGAATAAGGTAGCTCAGGGGCTAAGGTCGCATGTGACAATAAAGCAATAGAAAGAGGTTTTTTTTTTAAAGAAAATGTTAATATAGTTTAGGAAAACCTCCTTGTCCAATGCAGCCAGGAGTGAAACTCTGTGAATGACTTTACATCACAATCTCATCTTCCCCCTTTGGCCTCAGTGACTTCTCAGAGGGTCTTTGAGTCTCTCCCAGCCATGGCCAATACGGTATAAAAACCCCTCTTGTCACACTATATGGAGATAGATTAGATGGATGGATGGATGGATGGATGGATGGATGGATGGATGGATGGATGGATGGATAGATAAATATAGATGATGATAGATAGATAGATAGATAGATAGATAGATAGATAGATAGATAGATAGATAGATAGATAGATAGATAGATAGAAAGAGAGAGAGAGAGAGAGAGAGAGAGAGATGGAGAAAGATATGTATGTATCTATGTATGTATGGTATTCACCTTTGTTCGGGTATTTTCCCACGTCATTATAGTTGTGCTTTTAAAGTTGTAGCAACGTTTCGGCAGAATCTCATCTGCCATCATCAGGCTTCTGTATAGTGTTCGTCGACGTGGGAAAATACCCGAAGAAACCTGAATACCATACATATAAATACCCGCGAAAACTTAAGAAAACACACACACACACACATATATCTGCTAAATTCCAGTTAAATGCTCCAGAGGGTGTCTGAACAGTCTTGGGTATAAAAATCCCAATTGTACATGTTGCTCTGTTCACCTGAACAGTTTTTTTTATCAAGCTCTGCTTTGATTTCTAATTTTCTCATTATTTTTTGCTATATATTTTTGTGAAATTGTAGCAATAGCGCTTGGACTTCTATACCGCTTCACAGAGCTTTAAAGTCATTTACACTCTAGGCAATTTACAGAGTCAGCCTATTTCCCCCCAACAATCCGGGTCCTCATTTTACCGACCTCGGAAGGACGGGAGGTTGAGTCAACTTTGAGACGGTGAGGATCGAACTGCCGGCAGTGGGCAGAGTCAGCCTTCAATGCTGCCTCTAACCACAGCGCCCCATGGTTCATCCAACTATAGTATAGTTAGTCCTCGACTTACGTTTGCCCCATTTTCAAACTTTTCTTGCCACCGTTGTTAAGTGAATGACTGCAGTTGTTAAGTTGTTAAGTGAATCTGGCTTCCTTCTTGACCTTTGCTTGTAAAAAAGGTTGCAAAAGCAATCACATGACCCTGGGACACTGCAACCGTCATAAATATGAAACAGTTGCCAGTTGTCCAAACTTTGATCTGGTGAGTATGGGGATGCTGCAACGGTCGTAAGTGTGAAAAAAGGTCCCTTTTCTCAACGTCCAATAGTCACTAAATGAATGGTTGTAAGCTGAGGACTACCCGTATTTAATACAGAGCAGCTTCAGCCTGTAGATAATCGGTTTCAATGCACAATATTTCTCCTTGGTGATGTTATTAGAATTCAGGGGTCCCCAACCTTTAAGACTTTAAGACTGGTGGACTTCAACTCCCAGAGGAGCTGAGAAGAAGCAGGGCTGTCTGGAGAATTCTGGGAGTTGAAGTCCACCAGTCTTAAAGAGGCCACGGTTAGAGACCTCTGGATGAGAACAGTATCCGTCAGTAGAGCCTTTGGAACTCCTTGCGCCGCTAATCCGCCCATCTTTTCTGCTCTGTTCCCAGCTGGACAGCGCCACGTCCCTCATCCAAGCCGCTAAAAACCTGATGAACGCCGTGGTGCTCACCGTCAAAGCCTCCTACGTGGCTTCCACCAAATACCAGAAAGTCTACGGCACAGCTGCCGTCAACTCGCCGGTGGTCTCCTGGAAGATGAAAGCCCCGGAGAAGAAGCCGCTGGTGAAGCGGGAAAAGCCGGAGGAGTACCAGACCCGGGTGCGGAGGGGCTCCCAGAAGAAGCACATCTCGCCCGTACAGGCCCTCAGCGAGTTCAAGGCCATGGATTCCTTCTAGGGCTTCGCCACCAGGGGCGTTTTTTTCTCTAGGCCTCCCGTGTTTTTGGTTGCGTCCCTGCCCACTTGTAGGTGCCTGGCACAGGGAGGAGGAGGAGGAGGAGGAGGAGGGGGTGTTGGGGCAGAACCCGGATAATAACGAAGCCGTGTCAATTTGCATGCGACTGAGACACGACTAAGCCATCATGCAGTATTCCTTCCCCCCCCCCCCCGAAAAACATTAGGTTGGCTAGCGGCCTGTCTCACCGGTCTCTTTCCTAAAGGAGCCCCAAAAAACCAACAAAAAAGAGGCTTTATTGTACTTTATTTATTTTTTAAAAGAAGGCTTGTTTTTTTAAGGGGAAAAATAATTGCATTGTAAGACCAGGAAAGAGAAGGAGAGATGAGGATGGGAAGGTTGGGGTCCTTGGTGCTCTCCAAACTCCGTTGTTTCCTTGCAGACGTTTCATTGCCCATCGAGGTAACATCATCTGTTCTGGGTGGAGCGGGGTTTGCTCTCTAGCTATATACAAGTCTCTTGCCCTGTCAGGGTGGGTCTTGGCTTGACTGAGCGGTTATTTAAGGTGAGGCTTGTTTGTTTGAACTGTGGCAGGAAGTACCGCCAAGGCCACACACCCTCCAACCCTGATCAACCGAGAGCAAACCCCAGCACGGATGGCGTCACCCAGTTGGGCCACGAAATGTCTGCAGGGAAAGCAGCCGAGCTCGGAGAGCCCCTGAGGACCCCCACAGCCCGGCCCTGAGCTGCCAATATCTCCTCTCCTGCGGGATGGGAAGAGCTCTTTCCGTGTGCGGAGCATGGGAGTGTCGGCAGGGACCTTTGCAGTGGGGTGGGAATCCATAACCGCTTGTGTTGCTTCTGTAAACTAGCCAGTGTGCTTGAATGTGCGGCCTCCGAATAATGAGACGGTTTAATTTTCACAGCCCTCTTCATTAACGGTATGTGGATTTTTAACCAAGGACGGTGATTAAAAAAAGAAAAAGAAAACTTGGGGTGAATGCTTCCTCACTTCTTGCCCCCTTTTTTTCTTTCCTTTCTGATCGTGTTATGATGATGAATCAATTGGAGCCGTTGCCTTCTCCGATCCCCCCCCCCCCCCACACACACACACACACACCTTCCTATCAAACTTGTTTTCATTTTCAAACTTGAGTTCCTTCTGGTGAAGTATGAAGCACAACATGGTGGTTGACATTGCCTTTTGTATTATTATAATTATAACAAATATTAATATCATTAGACATAGAGCTGGTGGTAGAATGTGTGAAAGACATGGGAGCTGCTGAGACATGTGGGAATTTAGAAACAAATATTGTAGGTGTAGCTTTGGATCACAGCAAGGGATCCAACAGTCCCATCATAACCGCTAACTCAATAAACTTATTTAACCTTGGAGTTGTGTTCTCTGTTCTTTGGCTCATTTGTTCCACCTAAACATTGACTCCTTCGTTGCTCCAGGCTCTGGCGGAAAGCAAACTCACATTCGAGCGCTTGTGGAGAGAATATTTTCACCCACGACTTCCAGTCTGACCCCATTTTGCACAGGTAGCCCTCGACTTATAGCCGTTCATTAAGCGACTTGCAGTTACAACAATACTGGGGGAAAAAAGGTGACTTAGGCCTGTTTTTCAGTTACAACTGTGGCAACATCCCCACAGTCACGGGATCAAAATCCAGACCCTTGGCAACTGACTCACAGTTGTGACCGTTGCGGTGGGATCCCCTTGACTTTCTGACAAGTCAGTGAGGAAGCCAGATTCACTTAATAACCAATTGCTATTTGTAACCTTCCCAGCTGGCTTCCGATGAGTAGTCAGTGGAGGACTCCATGGCTGCCTAATTAACTTAATAATTGCAGTTGCAGATTCATTTAATGACTGTGGCAAAAAAAGGCTGTAAAATGAAGCACAACTCGCTTAACAACTCCCTTGGTTAGCAACAGAAATTTGGGGTTCCCTTGGGTTCAATTCAACTGTGGTCATAAGTCAAGGAGTATCTCTATTCTGGCCATGCAATAGTGCTGGCCAAAGTGGGATTGGTTGGCTTGGGTTTCAGCAATTTGTAGGAGGGAGACACAACAATTGTGGGGTTTAGGACATTGTATGAAACCCAAAGCTGGCCTGGATACCCACTGCATTTACTCAGCCGTGCTCCTCCCTCTACTTTTCCCCATTCACTTTTAGTTGTGTTATTTTTAATCTGCCTTACTTGTTATATAACTCAAGATAGCAAATATACCTAATGCTACTTCCTCCCCTTCTTTTCACACCACCCCAACCGTGTGAAGTGGACTGGGCTGAGAGAGAAGGACCGGCCCAAAGTCACCCAGCCGCCTTTCATGCCTACAGCAGAACTAGAACTCCCCGTCTCCTGGGGATTGGTCCAAAGTGACCCAGTTGGCTTTGATGCCTAAGGTGAAATTACAACTCACCTTCTCCTGGTTTATAGACCATCCCCTTAACCATCACACCAAAGTAGCTCTTAAGTATCCATGCAATGAAAATAATGGTCTTTAGAGAGTCACACAATTAAATTGCCTCATTGTTGGCATTTAACATACTTTTGCATCCAAATGTAAGAACTCCTTTGGACGTATCCATTATATTTGCCCCCAAGTACGGCATCAAGACATTCTGATGTTTCTCTCTCCTAAGAGATTACTAAGAGGGATCTCCCCTACATCAGAAACCACAAAAAATGTTATTCTAACACACCGTTAATTCCTGAGCCATAACTTTATGTCATCTCCCCTAAGTATTTAGAACGTAATATAATTCTTTTTGTTTCCAAGAATTTTCCCCCTTCTTGGCTAGGAGTAAACAAAATCAAAATCTCTGAATAAATGATTGCTTTCAAAAGTGACAGTAAGTCAGTAATTCAGCTTGAAAGCAAAAAGCAGCAAACAATCACGCATGGTAAATTATTCATTTCATCAAGAAAATATGCTTTTCCTTACAACAAGCTCCGCTTTAATAGCATATAATTTTTTCCAGGAGTGGGTAAAACACTTTAAATAGCAGACCTTCCAGTGAGGGAATAACTAGGGAATATTGTTGTATAATTATACAAAAATAAGAAATACTTTCTTAAGATATCCCTAAATAATCTTACACATTTTTCTTTTTTAAAAAAAAAAATCCAGTATCAGGGTTTAAATGAGGAGGACCTCAGTTATGCTTTGATTTTTTTTAATATTTTTATAAAGTCATTAATTCCCAAACCAACAACAGGACTTTAATGATCTGCCTGTATTCCTGATTTATAGTACATCAAAACCTTGTCGGGGGTCTCTGCATTTGTACATACCATAGACATGAAACCAAAATGAAACATTTCCCTTAGATTCCTTTCCCCCCATTTCATGGTGTGTCGAATGGCAAACTCTTCGTAAACAACTACAAGCCACAAAATGCAGATATTCAAGAGGGTTGGTTTTTTCCCCCTCCTGATCTCAAACTTCAACAGTGGTTTTGAGCAACTTTGATCTTGGCAAATGAAAAAGTCCAGAGCTTTTGCTGGGGGGGAAAAAAAACCTTTCTTTTTGGCTGTCTTTTTGAAGAAAGAAGTTTTTTGGGAACACAGTTTGAAAGTCTTGGGATATGTTCACAAGTTGGTTGATTTAACAGGATATATTGTTCTTATATAATAGTGTATATATTATATACTATAATTATATACTAACATATGCCAGTGAAACATGGACACTAGCCGCACAATCAACACAAAAGTCAGTGGCACAAAGAGCCATGGAAAGATCATGCTTGGCACTGCAAGCATTTTCAGAGGTTTTGTGCCTGCCTCTAAGTTTGTCATTCATTCATTCATTCATTCATTCATTCATTTGTTCATTATTAATCAAATTTATATAGGTATCCATCTCAAGAAAAAGTTTATTTCTCCTTCCTTCCTTCCTTCCTTCCTTCCTTCCTTCCTTCCTTCCTTCCTTCCTTCCTTCCTTCCTTCCTTCCTTCCATCCATCCATCCATCCATCCATCCATCCATCTCACCTTTATTATTTTTACAAATAACTGAAGATGCTAAACATACCTAACATGCTCTCCTCGTCCTATTTTTCCCACAACAACCCTGTCAGGTGGGTTGGATTGAGAGAGAATGACTGGTGAAAAGTTGCCCTTCGTGCCTAAGGTGGAACTAGAACTCAGCGTCTCCTGGTAATTTGACCAAAGCCACCCCGTTGGCTTCCATTCCCAATGGCTGGCTCAAAGTGACCCAACTGGCTTTCACTGCTCGGGGGAGACTAGAACTCACAGGCGCCTACTTTCTATCCTGGCACCTTATGCACTTGACTAGACCAAACTGGCTCTCTATTATACAACAGTAACATGTACCAAAAAAGATACAGAAAGAGGAATTAAAAATCTCAAAGACTAAGAGAGGCCACCGGATGTGAACCCCAAGGCCTGCCTTATATCTCGGTCCCTTGCTGGCCTTCTGGGGCTCCCTCGCCTGACAGTCTAAACTGGTTTTGAGACGTTTCTGGAGAATGAAGCGGGAGAGCCTCCCTCTGGGGCTCGTGGGAGGCAGGCCCCAGGGTAGAGACTGTGATGCAGAGGGGGTGAATTCAGCCGGTCGGGACTGGTTCTGGAGAACCAGTAGCAGAAATTTTGAGTAGTTCGGAGAACCGGCAAATCCCACCTCAGACTGGCCATGCCAACCCCGTCTATTCTCTGCCTCCCATGGAGTCCCAGCTGATCGGCTGGGTCTCCTTTGGTTGCCCTGCACAGGAGAACGGAGCTGGAAAGCAGGTCAGTGGGGAGGGAAGGGGGATTTTGCAGTATATCCTTCCCCTGCCATGCCCGCCAAGCCACACCCACAGAACCAGTAGTACACAAATTTGAATCCCACCAGTGCCGTGTGATGGCAGCCTGGGTCCCACCAGATGTAGCTCTCTAGCAGGTGGGACTCATGCCTGACCCTTCACAAGTCCCTCCCTTGACCCACCCACCCCTGAAGCCCTTATAAGAGAAGAACACCGACACTGGCGTCCCCTAAACTCCCCTGAGGGGGTTTCCTAGCCTGGTAAGGAAGCGTTCAGAGACCAACCCACAAGC